TTTAAAAACAAATTTTTTGTGAATGAATTTAGTTTAAGAAAATATTTAGATATATTCCAGATCTTTTATTTGAGGAAATCAGGTATCGAGAAAATTTTTTATTAGACTTGATTGATCGAAAATTACAATAGAGTAGAAACACAACCATCTGTTCTTTATGCACTAAAACCTTCTGGACATGGAAAGATGCCTTGGGACATTATTGCATGAAGAGTTACAAAGTGTCGCTCATAAAAATTATTATTATTTAATTAGCTGTTATTTGATTTACTAATAGATAAATTTCAACATTTAATTCTGTCTTTCTTTTTTTAGATAATTTTAAACCAAGACAAGATGAATTAGGCGAATTAAAAAAAATAATGAAAGTTAAAATTTGAAAATGTTCTTGGTTTAGGCCTAATTGATAACAATCTTAAATATAAAAGATAAATTTGCTTCTGATAAAATAAAGCAGTGATAATTAATTTAAAAATAGATTTATAAACTTAGACTTAGAGTTTTTAGATCAGTTCATAGCCTAATTAACCAAAAAGTACATTTGTAATTAATTTTAAGGTAAATATCCAAATTAAAATTAAAAAAATAAGATTTAACAAAATCCTCTTGATGCCATTGTTAAAATGTTAATTTATTATGATAATGACTGAAAACCCACTAACAACATCGTCTAATATTCAAAAATCTTAACAAATGTAATGTTACTCGGTAAATGGTAAATTGTTATTGTATTATTATTTATTATGTAAAAATATTATAATTATTTATATATCACTTCATTAAATCTATTTCTTATTTTTATTTAATTGTACTTCTGAGAATTTTCAATTAATAATTTGTGATTTTATTTTTTTTGGATAATCTAAGGTTTGTTAAGGATAAAATTTTTATTGCTTTAAACCATACTTATTTTTTTCTTGATCTAAATTATCAAGTTAAAAAGTTTTTAAATTTGAGTGGTTCTTAGCTATATTTTTGTTATCCAAACTTTTTATGAAAGCCAAAATTGCTCAAAGAGTGAATTTGAACAAGTGAAATTTTTTTGAGATTCACTATTATTTTTTTGGAAATTACATGAAAATAAAAATGATAATACAGAAAAATAATATATATATATAATTTAGATACATCTAATATTATGGTTTACCCAGACTTCAATTTTTCAAGGTTTAAGAGAGTTTTTTAGAAAAAACCGTTCCTTTTTGGAGAATTATTGGAGTAAATTTTAATTTCTTACAATAACACTTCATTAATTTAAAAACTAACCTATATTAACCCTTAATTTAAATCTATTTAATATACTTCTTGTGTCAAATATTTGTTGATAGAGTTCTATTTTATAGTTTTTTTCTTTATTAACAATCTTGAAGCTTTACTAAAATGGAAATTAATTTAGCACATTTTAAATTATTATGAAATAGAACTTTTAGTTGCATGAATGCAATAATATCTTAAAATCTTTTTATACTGTTTTTTTGGTATTATACTTATCATAACCAAGCATTTTCTATAAATTTTTATTTAGAATGTGAACTGACCACGATTTATAAAGTACATTTTACCACCAAAGGTTTCGACATTTATCATTTTTAAGTTTTCTATTCATCGTATTTCTTGAAAGTCAATATATTCTAATATTCTCAAAATAATATTTTTTTCAACTCATATTTTAGTAACAGTAATACTATTATTTTTATTAACTTGATTTTATAAACTTTAAATTTTAACTTTTTAATTGGAAAATTGTTATTAGTAAAATACTTATTTTGAAAATTTAAGGGAAAATACCCAAACATTTAAGTGTGACTAATATAAATGCTTTTTTTATATATTTAAATAATTTATTGTCCAATTTTTCTGAGAAGGTTGTTATAGTGAATATAAATTTGACTAAGACTATCTATTATGTTTATCAAATATAACCATTTAATGAGTTTTTAAAGATTTAAAGGATATTATTTTTTTTTAGATATTAATTAATTTTGTAAAAATCATTTTGAAGGGACAACAGTGATTATACATTGAGTAATAACTGTTTATTATTTGATGTATGTAAAATTTCAAGTTTAGCTCAAGCTCATCAATAATTAAGATTCATATATAACGGATAGAGAAGATAGAATTATCTCCTTAAATCTTAATAATATATAAAAATATACTACTTTTTTAATATGTTTTCAAAGTTTTTTGATATCTTATCAATTAACATGTGATTGATACATTATCTTAGAGTTATGTTAAAATTTGTTATATAGTTAAGATTATATTCTAAGATTAACTTTATTATTTTAATTCTTGTCATATCTTTTTTATTATTATCTTTTTTATTAAATATATATTTTACTATTTATAAACTAATTTTACAAAATTATTAATTATATCTATTAAGACTTATGTNAAAGATGCCTTGGGACATTATTGCATGAAGAGTTACAAAGTGTCGCTCATAAAAATTATTATTATTTAATTAGCTGTTATTTGATTTACTAATAGATAAATTTCAACATTTAATTCTGTCTTTCTTTTTTTAGATAATTTTAAACCAAGACAAGATGAATTAGGCGAATTAAAAAAAATAATGAAAGTTAAAATTTGAAAATGTTCTTGGTTTAGGCCTAATTGATAACAATCTTAAATATAAAAGATAAATTTGCTTCTGATAAAATAAAGCAGTGATAATTAATTTAAAAATAGATTTATAAACTTAGACTTAGAGTTTTTAGATCAGTTCATAGCCTAATTAACCAAAAAGTACATTTGTAATTAATTTTAAGGTAAATATCCAAATTAAAATTAAAAAAATAAGATTTAACAAAATCCTCTTGATGCCATTGTTAAAATGTTAATTTATTATGATAATGACTGAAAACCCACTAACAACATCGTCTAATATTCAAAAATCTTAACAAATGTAATGTTACTCGGTAAATGGTAAATTGTTATTGTATTATTATTTATTATGTAAAAATATTATAATTATTTATATATCACTTCATTAAATCTATTTCTTATTTTTATTTAATTGTACTTCTGAGAATTTTCAATTAATAATTTGTGATTTTATTTTTTTTGGATAATCTAAGGTTTGTTAAGGATAAAATTTTTATTGCTTTAAACCATACTTATTTTTTTCTTGATCTAAATTATCAAGTTAAAAAGTTTTTAAATTTGAGTGGTTCTTAGCTATATTTTTGTTATCCAAACTTTTTATGAAAGCCAAAATTGCTCAAAGAGTGAATTTGAACAAGTGAAATTTTTTTGAGATTCACTATTATTTTTTTGGAAATTACATGAAAATAAAAATGATAATACAGAAAAATAATATATATATATAATTTAGATACATCTAATATTATGGTTTACCCAGACTTCAATTTTTCAAGGTTTAAGAGAGTTTTTTAGAAAAAACCGTTCCTTTTTGGAGAATTATTGGAGTAAATTTTAATTTCTTACAATAACACTTCATTAATTTAAAAACTAACCTATATTAACCCTTAATTTAAATCTATTTAATATACTTCTTGTGTCAAATATTTGTTGATAGAGTTCTATTTTATAGTTTTTTTCTTTATTAACAATCTTGAAGCTTTACTAAAATGGAAATTAATTTAGCACATTTTAAATTATTATGAAATAGAACTTTTAGTTGCATGAATGCAATAATATCTTAAAATCTTTTTATACTGTTTTTTTGGTATTATACTTATCATAACCAAGCATTTTCTATAAATTTTTATTTAGAATGTGAACTGACCACGATTTATAAAGTACATTTTACCACCAAAGGTTTCGACATTTATCATTTTTAAGTTTTCTATTCATCGTATTTCTTGAAAGTCAATATATTCTAATATTCTCAAAATAATATTTTTTTCAACTCATATTTTAGTAACAGTAATACTATTATTTTTATTAACTTGATTTTATAAACTTTAAATTTTAACTTTTTAATTGGAAAATTGTTATTAGTAAAATACTTATTTTGAAAATTTAAGGGAAAATACCCAAACATTTAAGTGTGACTAATATAAATGCTTTTTTTATATATTTAAATAATTTATTGTCCAATTTTTCTGAGAAGGTTGTTATAGTGAATATAAATTTGACTAAGACTATCTATTATGTTTATCAAATATAACCATTTAATGAGTTTTTAAAGATTTAAAGGATATTATTTTTTTTTAGATATTAATTAATTTTGTAAAAATCATTTTGAAGGGACAACAGTGATTATACATTGAGTAATAACTGTTTATTATTTGATGTATGTAAAATTTCAAGTTTAGCTCAAGCTCATCAATAATTAAGATTCATATATAACGGATAGAGAAGATAGAATTATCTCCTTAAATCTTAATAATATATAAAAATATACTACTTTTTTAATATGTTTTCAAAGTTTTTTGATATCTTATCAATTAACATGTGATTGATACATTATCTTAGAGTTATGTTAAAATTTGTTATATAGTTAAGATTATATTCTAAGATTAACTTTATTATTTTAATTCTTGTCATATCTTTTTTATTATTATCTTTTTTATTAAATATATATTTTACTATTTATAAACTAATTTTACAAAATTATTAATTATATCTATTAAGACTTATGTTTATAAATAGTAAAAAATTAAATAAATTATCAGAATATCTTATGAAATAATCATGTAGTTTTTTGTTAAGTTAGGTTTCAATTAAGTAATTAAAATCAATCTTTATTTTAATCTCTTCATTTAGCTTACTGTTCTTTGTTTGGATTATTAATTTAATGTAGTATCATTTAACATTAAATCTCTATAAATGTTAATTAATATCAGTTTTTTGATAAGTAGATCTCAATAAATATACCCTACATTTCCTTAAAATGGAATACTTTTGAAAAACTTGTATGAATCTTGATTAATCAAAATTAAGAATAAAGACAAAAAAAAGATATAATTTAAAAAATATAAAGAATGAATTTAAATAATAATTGTAATGTTCTTTATGAATAATAATTATCACTTTTACTTAAGGTCTTCTAAAAAGCAACTACCTTTAGATTTGAATAAAGGTTTCAAATCTTTTCCTTAATGGTTCATAAATTCTCCTTACAATATAAGCGTACCTCTTGCTTCTAATAAAGGATTCTAACAAATCCTAAGTATAGTACGATCTGGCTCAACTAAAAAATAATAAATAAAAAATACCATTTGGTAATAATGAACTATTCTAAAATGGTATTTTAAATTATGCAAGAATATCTTTGTAGTTTTTATCAGAGGATTTAATTTCTTATCCTGTCTTTACATCCCATAGACGGATAGAACAATCACCACTACCAGAAGCTAATGTATTTCCATCAGGAGAGAAACAGACTGATACGACATAATGAGTATGACCATCTAATTTGGCCTTTTATTATCCTGTTTTGACATCCCATAGACGGATAGAGTTATCATAACTACCAGAAGCTAATGTATTTCCATCAGGAGAGAAACAGACTGACATAATTTCTCTAGTATGACCATCTAATTTGGCTTTTTATTATCCTGTTTTGACATCCCATAGACGGATAGACTTATCATCACTACCAGAAGCTAATGTATTTCCATCAGGAGAGAAACAGACTGAGTTAATACAACTAGTATGACCATCTAATTTGGCTTTTTATTATCCTGTTTTGACATCCCATAGACGGATAGACTTATCATCACTACCAGAAGCTAATGTATTTCCATCAGGAGAGAAACAGACTGAGTTAATACAACTAGTATGACCATCTAATTTGGCTTTTTATTATCCTGTTTTGACATCCCATAGACGGATAGACTTATCATCACTACCAGAAGCTAATGTATTTCCATCAGGAGAGAAACAGACTGAGTTAATACAACTAGTATGACCATCTAATTTGGCTTTTTATTATCCTGTTTTGACATCCCATAGACGGATAGACTTATCATCACTACCAGAAGCTAATGTATTTCCATCAGGAGAGAAACAGACTGAGTTAATACAACTAGTATGACCATCTAATTTGGCTTTTTATTATCCTGTTTTGACATCCCATAGACGGATAGACTTATCATCACTACCAGAAGCTAATGTATTTCCATCAGGAGAGAAACAGACTGAGTTAATACAACTAGTATGACCATCTAATTTGGCTTTTTATTATCCTGTTTTGACATCCCATAGACGGATAGACTTATCATCACTACCAGAAGCTAATGTATTTCCATCAGGAGAGAAACAGACTGAGTTAATACAACTAGTATGACCATCTAATTTGGCTTTTTATTATCCTGTTTTGACATCCCATAGACGGATAGACTTATCATCACTACCAGAAGCTAATGTATTTCCATCAGGAGAGAAACAGACTGAGTTAATACAACTAGTATGACCATCTAATTTGGCTTTTTATTATCCTGTTTTGACATCCCATAGACGGATAGACTTATCATCACTACCAGAAGCTAATGTATTTCCATCAGGAGAGAAACAGACTGAGTTAATACAACTAGTATGACCATCTAATTTGGCTTTTTATTATCCTGTTTTGACATCCCATAGACGGATAGACTTATCATCACTACCAGAAGCTAATGTATTTCCATCAGGAGAGAAACAGACTGAGTTAATACAACTAGTATGACCATCTAATTTGGCTTTTTATTATCCTGTTTTGACATCCCATAGACGGATAGACTTATCATTACTACCAGAAGCTAATGTATTTCCATCAGGAGAGAAACAGACTGAGTAAACAGAACTAGTATGACCATCTAATTTGGCTTTTTATTATCCTGTTTTGACATCCCATAGACGGATAGACTTATCATTACTACCAGAAGCTAATGTATTTCCATCAGGAGAGAAACAGACTGAGTTAATACAACTAGTATGACCATCTAATTTGGCTTTTTATTATCCTGTTTTGACATCCCATAGACGGATAGACTTATCATCACTACCAGAAGCTAATGTATTTCCATCAGGAGAGAAACAGACTGAGTAGACAGTACTAGTATGACCATCTAATTTGGCTTTTTATTATCCTGTTTTGACATCCCATAGACGGATAGACTTATCATCACTACCAGAAGCTAATGTATTTCCATCAGGAGAGAAACAGACTGAGTTAATACAATTACTATGACCATCTAATTTGGCTTTTTATTATCCTGTTTTGACATCCCATAGACGGATAGACTAATCACCACTACCAGAAGCTAATGTATTTCCATCAGGAGAAAAACAGACTGATCTAACACAACTACTATGACCATCCAACTTATTCAATTCATGGACTTTTATGTTCTTCCATTTACAATTGAACAACTAAGCTCCATTCAAGTTGACTCCACTAATATCTACGTTGTCAAATTCAGATCCACTAAAGTTGCATCGTACAAAGTTTCCTCCAACCAAAGAAGTATTCTTTATTTTGATATTCTCAAATGATTGTTTTCTCATATCAACCTTCATGGCCACTAATAAACTAAGTCCATTTGATCCAGATTGAATGAATTTTACATCTATGCTTGTTAGTCGTACTAAAAATTTGATGAACTATGTGATCCCTTTGTTATTATTCATCCTCTTGATCAGATCCGTTCTTTCCTTTTCATATGTTTCTTGAGAATAGTCATCTTTATAAAATTTATGATCCTAAATATTCTTCAAGACATTTGTTATTTTCTTTACTTACTTCTTGATAACCATTATATTCTCTTACTTGTTGATTAATGAATCAAAAAACTGCTGATTGTTTTTCTTCAACAGGAATCCAATAATGTTTGAAACTTTCTCTTATCTAATTATATCAAGAATCTTCTAATAGAGAGATTCATCTATATCCTGGATGTAGGTTAGCATCTCATAAAGATCTTCCTTCATTTAATAAACTTCAGCTTCTTCTTAAATAGGCTTTATAGTGGTAGTAGATGGTTTAAATTGCTATGAAAAAATCTCATTCGTTTCTTTCTTTATCTTTTCATTAAAAGACTTAATTTGTGAGAACCATAAATTCTTCACTTTTTCTAACTAATTCAAATAAAAATTTTTTGAAGCATTCCAAACATGTAATGTTCTTCCTTCAAATATTTGTACAATTTTCTCTAATTCTGTATTTGAAGTTTCAATTAGATTTGTATTCTCGTTAATGAGATCAAGATATGATTTGTTTTATTGATCAATCATATCATATATTTATTTGATTGATTCTGATAATTCTTCCCCAATTTTCTTCATCATACTCTCAGTTTGTGAGAGCATTGATTTAAAAGCCATTCTTTATTCATTTAACTCTGATGTATCATCAAGCTTGGAGTCTTTTAATTTCTTTAAAGCCATCTCTCGAAACATTTAAACTGGAATGGTAAATTATAAATCCACTCCATGCTCCTATTGACATACTACACAAAGTTTCCTATAACATTTGCATATATGAGGGGCTACGCATATCAAAGTGATTGGATTTTGAAAATGATAAGTGCAATTCATTATTTTTAATATTGAATTTCTATTACTCTAGCTTTTAATTTATATACTGCAAAATCGATAAAAGTATCTTATGCATTTCTGTAAAATAGAAGTTAGGACTTTGTGTAGATTTGGAATTGATTGTAGTAAATGTTAATTATGCTATTGAGAATTTATTTCAACATCTGCATTACTTGGTTTTTTAATAATATAGAATATTTTTTTTTTATATGAATATTTTCATTTGTTCAAAAATTGAGTTCTAAGATTAATTCATTAATTTTTGTTTATCTTTAATTTTTCAGATAAATGTTTTCAGATAGAACAATGTCTTAATATTGTAATTGGATTTATATTTGTAATGTAAAGAAAGAGTTTAAATATATGTCCAAAACTTAGTGTGACTCCTCGTAAAGAGTTTGTCACCTTTCAGAAGGGAAATAGTGATCATAAAATATTTTTAACATTTTGAAAAAAAAGTAAAGGGGGGGTATTGTAAAAAGAGAAATTGTACTTTTTGAGAAATTGTCTCCACATTTTTGTTGAAATGAAAAGAGATGTAAACTTAAGGTGTTAACCAATATGCTTAGAATTGTACCCTCTATTGAATGGTGTATGATATGTACATTTTTATATTTACTCATTTTTTTATATAT